TACTTTGAAATTTATTTCTTACACAGATTATTTATTTTTATAATTTTATTGATCATCATAATTCAGTTTCATTCGTCCATATCAAATTCACGAAATAGAAGAAAAAAATTTCTTTCATCTTTGCATTTTTAATATATCAATGTATTGGCTACATTTCAATCAAAGAATAAATAATGTTCGATAGTTTATGTTGTACACTGTTCAAACTTTTCGACTACGAAACACACCTCCGTCGAAAATAGAATCATATGTGCATAGGCGTGAGTGCATCGTGCGCATTACGTAACAAGTGCACGTGTACACTGAATGTCGATATGAGGGAAACGATCGAAATCTTAGTAGTTTGCGTATGCAGTCATTTTGGCACCTGCGAATATAACAATTTCTTGAATCATTTGAAAAAGCTTATGAGCTATTTAAAACAAAATTAAACAACATTATGAATAGATCAAGAGATTCAGACATTTTTTCATGACAAAATAATAAAAATAAAAATAAATGTTTAAGAATAAGAAGAAATTGTTATCTACATATATCAAATATAATTTTAAAGAAATATATAACATACATTAGTTTGAAATTCATTTTAAAAAATTTCATTTTTGCCAATCTTTCATAAAAAAAATCATCAAATATTTTTAAATGCTCTTTAAAAAAATGTGTATTAGTTAAATATTAAAATCATTTTTTTTTTTTGCTCTGTTCTCGAAAATTAATACCAACGTAGTTTGGCTGCTTTTATTAAATAATTTTTTATAAGATACAAAGACTCTTCGGGTAAAGCAATTTATCGTCGTAGCTCTGTATACTATCCGCCAACGCGTAACTTATAACGATTAAAATATGTCACGCGAGATTACTCCTGCATGCTTGATTATGCTTTTTTGATCTCGTACAATGTTATTTCTGAAAATATTTTCATTTTGTCATATTTATCTTGTTATAAAACAGATGGTTCATTTCATTTTAATTATAACTATTTTTTATTCATTTATAATTGGTTATCAAGAAAAACGAAAAAAAATATTTCTAATTGATAAGAGAATAGACAAATATATATTTTAAAAATTAAATTTTACATGAATTTAAAAATAAAATAAGATAAAAACCATAAATATATCTATTTATCATAATAATAATGTCGGTAACTTGATGAACTCTGTTACCGACGAATTTGTAATAATAATTTTCTTTGACGTCAACTTAGTCGACATTAGTAATATCTGTAAAAAAAATCGTTAATGTATGTTATACACTTATACAAAATCGTCTAATACTATTAGAACGATTTTATGATAATCGTTAAAATATATGAAAAGTATTCTTTAAAAAATTCTAATGTCACGTAACTACGACATTATAGTTTACTATAATATCAACGATTCTATGCAAGAAATGCACATTATAAAGTCTCAATAACTTTGCACAATGTACAATCAACATAACGTTCCGATTTCGTCACAGAATCGCGTTTAGAGTATTGATACGTATCGATCTGTGTCGAGTAATTGGACAGCGTCCATCGATCTCTAGATTTACTTACAATCGATTCTTAATTCGTATCTTCTGAACGAGATGAAAATCGAACGATTAAATAGATATCGAAACACAATTATTTCTTACATATTTTTATTTGAATTGTTATATGTGTCTATAATATAGTAATATAACCTATCATTTTTAAAATTTTGGTTTTTATTATTATCATCGTAATATTAGATATGTCTTTATAAATGTAATTTGATATAAAAATAGATAATAAAAATTTTATATTTCATTCAATGTTAATAATAAATTTTCCTATCTTTTTAATTTTGAAAGGACGGTTATTACGACATTCACTAAACCGATGTAAACTGATTTCAAGATGGTGGCTTCTCACAAGCGTCATTCAAATTAATCCTCGATTAATTCAATCTAGATTCCTGTGGAACACAATATGACGCTTAAATGTAAATCTGTGAAGCTTAACAAGAAATTCATGGTCAACCAGAAATGTCCCACTTTCTAATATTTAACATATATTTTATCTGTAAACATGTAAGTAACATTCGTAAATACAACAATGTATGGTATATCATTTCGCTGGACAAAAATTTAATTAAAATTATTGCAATGATATTAAGTGAAAATCTTAAAAAAAATCTAAACCGAAATAAATGATGTGAATAAGCCTGATTAATCAAATAACTGAAAAATAATAAGTGAAAAGAAACGTTGCATTAATATTCAATTTAATAATATTAAAAATCTTAAATTATTATATCGATATATGTATATTATTAAATAACTTATGCAATAAGCAAAAATGGAAACTTCTTCTTATATAACAATTGACGGAAAAGAATAATTATTGTGTAGGTATATAACAGAAAGAAACAATTAATGTGTATGTATTAATGTATTATTTTATTTTCGTTTTCCTATTATTCGTGATGAAAACAGAAACACAAAATTAAATTATAATAATCACCATCTTTTGATATTTTTAGTTATTATGAGAGATTATGTCTGACTGTTAATATATTTCGACAACACAATGTTAACATATTTGATAACACGAGCAAACATATTCCTATTAATTGCCTTAGAATGTTCCATTTCGAAAATTATATGAATACATCGATCCCTTATCTGTCAGATACGTAGGTGTACGAACTTGATACGTAAAATCCTCCTAACGTAAGTTACTATGCATATAACGTATTATCTGTATAAATAATGGCATAATAATACAGGCGAATGTTTGCTTCGATATGTATTAAGTGCTTTTACCGATCAGTGTTTCAATATGATATGACGTATTGACGTAATAACTGTAACCAATACTTTATTATAAATTATATAAAGTTTCGGAATAATTAATTCCTAGTTAAAGTAAAAAAAATTTTCAATTGTTGATTATCTTTCTTAAAAAATTTAATTTAATTTTATTCAATTTAATTATTTTTAATATACTTTCAAAAACATTTAAAAGAAATCAAAAAATAGTTCATTCAAAAGAATAGTTAGAAACATAAAATTATAATTGATTTTTATTAAATATTAATTTTTATTAAATATATTTTTAATATGAAGCAATTTTTTAATCAATTTTTATTATTCCTGTATTTATTATCTAAATGCTTTTATTTTACAATAAATCTTTACACCTGACTTACCTAAACTGTTATATAGTAGTTCGTCAGGTAATAGTGTTTCCTCAGGATCGTTAAATACCTACACGATACTTTCAACGAACTTTCGCGTCCTGGAATCACTTAATAAAAAAGATGCAACGCACAATCACAAAATCACAATCCGATAATTTCGCGAGGTTCGCGAATGGCTCTAATGCCATTCGTGCAACGGGAGCTAATGGTTGCGAGATGATACCCGAATGATCGTTAAGGACAAACTTAATAATAGTAGCCGGATATTTACTATAGATCTCTACTCGTCCAATTGGCCGATCAGAGATGAATTCATGACTGGCAGCCACTTTGTAAATATATGACGAGTATCGAGCCAAAATCATCATTTTGCGACCTGTATAAAAGATACACGATATATATAAATACTCATACAAATATAATAAACCTTATAAGTAAGTAAATATATATATTTTTGTATGTAATTATGTGGATGCAACACGCACAAGAAATTACACCGTTTACATGGATTTGATCTTATCATTTTTAATCGACAATTAAGATTATGCAATCTTCAAAATAATTTATCGTTTTAAATTTATTTTAAAATTATGATCGAATAATAATGAGAATATGAAATAGATGAAAACGTTATAATGTTGATACGAAGATAAATGAAAAAGTTTAAAAAATTCTTTAACATAACTCTCATCGATGAAAGTTAAATCTCCAAAATTAATTTTCTATTAATGTGATCATAGAAACATTTATGGAATGCATAATTTCAAAATTTTATTAATTTGAAGATATGAAATAATTCCTCAAAATAATTTTTATAAAGAGAATTTTTAGTGATATTATGTTATACTGATGACGTAAATGGAGTGTTATGACACTAGAGGTTGTCGAACTCGACGCATCACTTTCCATTTGTATGTTACTTAACATTAGAAAATTAAGTCTATAATTTTCATGAAAATACATGTTACAAAAATTAATGAGACAAAACTTCGAAAAGAAAATCTGTTATTTCTCATTTTCATTGATATTAGAATTAATTATTTATTAAATATCTCTATTCATTTTTTGCCATTGAGAGAAACAGCATTCAAGTTGTGAAATCGAATAGAAAGATTAAATATTGATAAACAATATCATAAATATCGAAAAAAAATAAAATAAATTACATCGTTTAAAATTTATAAGTATGTCAAATCGAATTTTAAGATTTTAGATTCCATAAATGAAAGATATAATCTTCATCTTTGATAAGATATTGCAAAACAAAAGAATTCTTCCAATGTGGAATTTTAATGATTTCAAGAAATACAATTGAATTGCTGATATTAAAAAATATTGTTGCAAGTAATTTTAACTATAAGCATAATTTATTGCTGTAAATTTAGAAAAGTTTTTATTGCATTAAGATTGATTGTTTCTTTCTTTACATATTGTCAAAATATTTTTATAATCTTTTAATCAGTAATTCATGAAGAACTGCTTTATACAAACAATGAACAATTTTTATGTATACAATACGAAAAAATTACAAAGAACACGATATTTATTATAATGCAGAAATATGTTTGTTTATATAACAGCATAATATAACATAGTGGCATAATAGCAAAACTTTACTATGATATGCAATTATTTAAATCATATTTTTTAACCAAACTTCTATAGATTTATATTTATTAAATATAATTCTCCTTTAAATGATATAAAATTTTAACACAAGAATAAGACTAAAAAATCCTTTTATTTATAAGTTGAATAACACAAAAGTATTAAAGAATAAATTTCATTCTTATATATGTTGTAAGACCTAACCTAAATTTTAAATCTGTGCTTATTATAATCACTTACCCCTTCGTGATTTGGCGCCAGGATAATTCACCGCTTTCTCGCTTTCGGGAATTGTCTGTCGTGATTCGACACAAATGTCCTCGTATCTAACGTTCACTAACCCACTCTTTGTATGACATTCTTGTTTCAACTCCGTGATCGTTAAAATATCGAAAAAACACGCAATAATTCGTTCCTGCCGAATTGCGCGTTCGCGATCGACTTATATTTGAAATAACATACATTACAACGTGAACCGTTCTTGAACACGAACGTTGACGACGTTCACTGATCGACACCGGTGTCACGAATGCGATTCGCTTTTGTTTACTCTCTCTTTATGCCGTCAGCAGGTGGCGCGCAAAGAAGGGGAATTTACAGTTATTTTTCTTTTATATAATATCAAAAGAAACGCTTTACAAATACAAAATATTTAGCATATTCGATTCTATTTTTTGATCAATTTTAAAATATATCATGAAATTTTATATAATAAATATTTAGAAAAATGATAAATTTATTATATTTTTATATATATAGATAATATCATAGATTTTATTATTATGTAATTTATAATAAAAATTAAATTAATCACTCAAAGTGATTAAATTACTAATTTGTTTCTTATTAAAAATCTAAAAAATATAATGTCTTATTATCTTTCTTTTTATTTTGTGAGAAGAATAATATTTATTTACAAGATACAAGCATTTTAGACATGTATGGACCATCAAGTTCGTATCCCATTTTTCGATAATAATTCCTTGTTCCAACACCTAAATAAAATCATATACATAATGCTTGTATAATATTTAAAATTAAATTGTTTAATTTTTACCTGATATAACAGAAATTTTATGAGATCCATGTTCCTCCTTTGCTATCCGTTCAGCTTCTTCCATTAATAACATTCCAAATCCTTGATGCTGAAACTTTGTAGGATCACGGGCATTTACTGGAACAACGCTACCATATACATGAAGTTCTCTCACTATTGAACATCTTTCTTTAAGTTCTGGCCTATAATACACGTTTTGTTAATATAACTTAATATTCGTTAAATAATTTTAATAATTTTAATTTACCTAAATGTTTCATTTGAACATTTTCTAAGTCTTAATAAACCAACTAAAATATCTTGAGTGGGATCTTCATAAGATAAAAATGTTTCCCATCCACTATTGGCAACATAATCACGGCGTATAAGTTCTACTTCATAAGGTTGTACTTTGTGGTGTATTTCTTGAATACCTACTTCCCGAGTTCTAACATCGCGACAATCAGTTCCTAAATCTTTCATTCTTGCTAGTGCCAATTCACGTAAATTTCCATGTTCCACGCCTGAGCTGCATGTTTTAAAATTAAATTTAATATATAACATATTATATACATAAAATATAAATACAATCTAGCTAATATTACCTAACTAAAGGCATAGGTATATCTCTCTGTACGCGATATACACGAGTCCAAGGCGGTATCAAAGACAATATTCGAGCAATAAGATCTACTAAAACACTTGGTGGATAGCTTTTATATCTTCCTGTTTTCCATAACTCATATAAACCTGTACCTCGTATAACTAACGTTGGATAAATTTTTAATCCATCTGCTCTGAAAGCAGGATTTTCAAAAAATTCCTAAAATATATATAATTTCATTAATAAGTTAAAAAAATGAAATATAATTCGTTATAAATAATTATAATTTACAATGAATTGATTAACATCTCTCTCAATATCAACATTTGGCAAGTCTGGCATCATATGCGCTATTACTTTGAAACCAGCATCTTTTGATAATTGAAAACTCTCGCATACTGCACGAACTGTATGTCCTCTATTAGTATCACGTGCTACATCTTCATATACAGATTGAACTCCAATTTCTAAACGAGTACACCTATTACGTTTTTTCAATAAATTTAAAAAAATAAAAATATATTTATGTATATAAATCATTATATTATACATACCCATATCGTAACATATCAGAAAGATGTTTTTTAAGACAATAATCGGACGTGTTTCTATAGTAATACCGATACATTTTGTACGACTTCGTTCAGAAAATTTTACCGCTTCATCGACATTGCTACTTACATGACCAGACAGAGCATCATGTAAATTTCGGATAAAATAATCTCTGTAATCTTCTGGCAGAGACATAAAAGTACCTCCCATAACAATAAATTCAATTTTGTCTACATTATGTCCCAATTGTTTTAACTATAACAACATTTTAATCAATATTTAAATTAATTTAGAATGAAATAAATTAATATAAAATAATTTATATAGAAATATTTAACAAGTTTCTTTACCTGTTCTACACGATGCCTAGTTTGTAGAAATGGATTATATCTTGCACGAATAGCTCTCATAGATGTAGGTTCATAACCAGTATAAGATTGTGTAGAATATTCAAAATCAGAATCAGGTCCACCAGGACAATATACGCAAATATTTCCTGTCATATTAATATGAGGGCATCGATGAGGTTTGCACATTACAGCTACAACAGCTATCTATAAAAATCAAATTACTTAGTGAATATATTTTTTATTATTCAAAAGCATAATTTGCTTTTGAATATATATTAATAATTTTTGTTAGTGCAATTAGAATTTAATTAAAATTATTATATAAATTATAATAAAGAAAACACTAACTCCACTAGCAGTCCTAATAGGTTTTGCCTTTAATTTTGGTATTAATATACTTCTTGCATCAACAGGAACAGCTGCTATAATGTCAACCAATCTTGGTGAAGCTTCTAATCCATATTTAGAAGCAATTCGTGTTTTTAATTTATTTAAATCAATATCTCTGTTTTCTTCATGTGCTTTTAATAATTCTTGTATAATTTCTCCAATTGTCATAACCATACGTTCTTCTTTGCTTTGTTCAAATTCTAAAATTACAACATAAATAAAATTATAATATTATAATTAAATAAGTAAAATTATCTTTGTAAAAATAAAATAATGTATATTATAAAATAAATTTGTATTCTTTTAAAAAATTATTATAAGAACAGTATATTAATTTTTATAATATTATAATATTACCTTTTCTTTTTTTTACCATGATGTTTAATTATTTAAGATTACTAATAATGCAACTATTAATTCTTTTTGCGAAATATAAATGTTTATTTGAATAAAATTGATTTTAGGTTAACTTCGATGATATTAATAAATCTAACCTATTAAAATAGAATAACGAGTAATGAATAACCAATGCATTTTCTTGTTCAAATCTTTCTTACCATTTTAGTATCATTTTCGATATTATCGATTCAGCATTAAATAAGAATACAATACTAGTAATGACATCTATATATTTGATTGATAACTGACTGTACCTTAAATATAACTGATATGATAATAATTAAATCAAATGAATTTTGTTAAAATTTTTAATCAGTAAATTAAATAAAGATAATAAAGTTAATTAGATTTAATTAGATCAGCATTGTTTTTTCAGCATATAAATTTTGCAAAAAGTAAATATAAGAAGAATAACTAAAAATATTAGATTCTTACTTCCAGTGACCAGTTGAGGATCCGCGTTCTGATCGATTGAAATTATGTCTTGTGGTTGAACATTTTTTTTGTAAATTCACTCTGATGGTCAGGGATTTATCCTCAGTCCTTCTTGTCAGAATATAAGTCATTTTTCTGTCAGACTGCTGTGGTAATACTTTGTTGGTCACGATTGATGAATATCTATCCGGTGATTCTCATAAATCTACTAAAAATCTACTAATAAGTTATGATATGAAGATAATGATAGTAATTTGAGTTTTAGTTTTATTAAATTCTTCACTATTTTTTTCTTGAGTTTTTGCATTTCTTCTTGATTGACATTAGTTTTAAATATATTAAATATTTATCTGTTTATCGATATATAATATTTAAGTTTAAAGTTTGTTTTATTATTGTTCAAATGCTCAAGAGATGACGTTAATAATTAATTTTTAATATTCTTACCTTAGCATGCTTTTGAAAAGATATTTTTGATGCTTATTAAAGAAATAGCACTGACAAGGAATTCTTATTTTATATCTATCTTTTTTTTACTATTTATTATCCTTTAATTAAATCACATAATAAATTATATAAATTAAATAAATGGCCTGATTTTGACAATTATATTTTTCCATATATAATTATAATATTTCTTAGAATTCTTATCATTTAATTTTTAAAAATTGGATTAATATATTTCAACAGATAATATATTTCAATGGATAATCCGGTGGTTTTTATGACCATTTATTTTTGATTTATACTACATAAAATATGGAATAAACATTACATATGAGAATGATGTCTTTGTAAGTTTGAGTATCAATTCATTTATTTATATTAGTTTGAAATTCACATTTTTATTTTTAATACTTATTTCCATGCAAATTTTTAACATTATCTATAACATTATTTTTAATATCATTTCCATGCAAAATACATATTTATCCAATGTAATCTCTAGAGGTTTTATTTCTTATTATAAATAAGTATAAATATATTATGGATACACATATATTATATATACATATGCATATAATAAATTTTATAATTATTATTAACAATGCATAAATTATTTCAAAAATTTATTTTATTTAATTTTATTTTTGAAATAATATTATTTACAATTAATAAAAAAAATTTTCAAACATCTAAACTTATTTTCACATAAAAAAATAAATCTGCTACTATTTCAATAAATCTAATTCTCTTAGTTTTTTGTAGTTTTTTTTTGACAAAAATAATTTTGTATATAACCATTTCTTTCATCTAATACTGATTCTGATTTTCATAGTAGATTAACATGAAAATGATAAATATATAATCTTAAAATATAATTAGTCAAATATTCTATTTTAATAATTGAAAAATTTAATCTAATTCATATCTTTATATTTTATATCAAGCATTAACATCAGAATTTAAGATGTCATATACTGAATTGAAATTCTAACATCAAAAACTATATTATTTCTAGTAAACTTATATGATTATTAGAATATTATTTTTCAATTTCAATGATTTATTTATGATAAATAATAATTATCATACTGTTATTATTATTGAGAATAATTTACATTATCAATATTGAAATTGTTATCACCCACCGATTTTTAGATTGAATTGATTCAAGATCTGATCAATTTTAATAAATTTTTCAAGATCAAAAATATCGAAGAAATTCATCAACCTTTGTCTTTGTTTTCTGTTAATTCCTCATTCAGCTTTTTATGAACAGATTCCATATGATTTACATCCACTTCAATTACAAAAATGGATGCGGGTGGTGTTT